TAATTATATGTAAATTTAAAGCATTTAACCCCACTGTTTACATTCACCCAATACAATTTTATTTTTACTTTCTCCTCCGTCTGGATGTTTTTGGCAAAACTATTTCCTAAATTAGAAAACAAAATTCCGATTTTCGGCCCTCCTCTGACGAACTTTAAAAAATAAGTTCACGAAACAAGTTATAAAACGAAAGTCTCGCCTAAGGCATAGGACTACTTTTATGAATAAAATCGAACGAACCTACGAACTTTTGTATGGTATTTTGCAATGTTTCTTATTTGAATCTAATAAAGTGCTCAGGCAAGTCTATCAATAAAAATATGAATTACATGAAACCTTACGGCAAAAATAAGTACACCCCACACCCCGCAAAAAGTGGGGTCTGTGGGCTTGAGTCCATTTTTTTTTCTTTGTTTTTGTTTTTTTATTATATCATAGGCCTACCAAAACATCGCATACAGAAAACGTTTCAAACATAGCATTATAAAATTAATATTACACAAGAAATTATAATTAATTAAATATAAATAAAAGAACTAGGCCCTATGAGAAAATTCATTACATAACTTAGGTTACAGTATGCCCCAATACTACAATGACGTATTTTAATCGATACGTCACCCACATACATTTACTTTTATCGCCATCTCTATGATTCAAAACAATTCTCATAATAAACCAGGAATTTTGTAAAAAAGTGGCAATGTTTGTATGATTATTGCAAACCTTACTATTAAATTAAAAAATATATATATATATAAACTAGGTTTCGGGAAACTGGATTTTCATAAGCTTGGGTCGGTAAAATGGCATTCAGCAAACTGGATTTTGGCAAAGTGGACTCGGCAATCTGTAATTGGACAAATAGACCACCGATCGAAGAATGCTAACGCCAACTCTTCCCCCTCCAACACACACGTAATAGCGTAACTAAAAGGGAGTTCTGAAAACTTACCACTTCCACGTCGTCCCCCATCAATCCAGTAGTTCTCCTTGATTTGGTAAGGTCCACAAGAGTCTGTACGCCCATCCCGGTGACACGAGGGAAATGGGTTCGTGCAGGCAGCAGATGTTTCGACCTGGCATATGCAACTCAGGCATTTCCGGGACACAGCTGGGAAGTAACGTAACAATAAGGTAATTGGACAGGTATAACTACAGAGTATTATCTTCTCATGATTTGTGCAAAGACTGCATGTCGTACATTGATAGAAACAGAATAATATAGAAACAATACTTTGAAATTAGGAAACAATTCAATAAATGAATTTTGACAAGTAACCAAAATAAGACCTTTGTATTACAATATGCAATCTTCTTATTTTGGATGGATATAGGCCTATACACTCTGTTTTTAAAAATAATAAATAGTTCTAACGAAGTATGTTAGTTTAATTGTGGGAATACTGTCGTATGGCAAACACTACCATCAATAAATTTTGATTGGAAGTAATAGGGTGATGGAACTTAGAAAAAATATATAGAGTTGCAAATGACAAGAATACACAATACACAATATACAATATACGATTATAGTTAAATACAATTGCAAACAATTGAGAGTTAGCATACTGTTAAAAGAAATGTTTGCGCAGTTTCTTGCACAATTTGCAAACGCTACAAGTTTATCAGCTTGTAGTTTGCAAATTGCACAAACTTATAGGGGACTAAGTAATTTAGTTCATCCTACCTGCTTGGGTTCCGGAGATGACCAAACCCAGCATCATTATTAAAGCGAGGTAACCTCGAAGTAGACCCATTCTAAAAAAGTTATATTTTCGTCGGTTTTCACTGACCAAGAAGCACAGACTGTAGTTGAACTAATTTTCTTGGGTTTTTATGTACCAAGAAGGAGGAAATAGGATAACAAAATATGATTGGTGGAGTATTATAAAGGTTCGGCCTAACAGTCCTGTCAATCAAAGAGGTACATCACTGGATACTGTATTAAAGGCGGCGTCTCAACCAGTTATACAATTATCTTTTGAAACAATGCTTTTTAATCTTATTGCCCAGGCATTAGACAATTAGAAGTAGGGAATCTTTCAACTTGTCTCTCTCTGGACACAAATTCGGACCAGTGGCGTGAACAGCTAAAGCC